CTTTTATGTAGTAGTAGTAGATAAGAAAGGTAGTCGAACACGAGGTTTGTTTGCAGGCCGCCAAAATAAGCATATACAAACTGTAAACACTTGAAACTCAGTGTATCAAGGGAGTGAGGCAGATCGGCATATTCTCAGTCTTCATACCGGCCGCTTCCCCCGATAGACACAACAGTATCTAAACCAGTACTCCTTTGGCACAGCCAGCTTGAAAATAAGCCCCAATAGACTTCTCTGTCTAACCGTTCAAGTTACATTATAATGGCATGAAACAGCAGACCCCAAGCAGAAGGGCAACGTAGCTTTCACTGCTGGTACTCTTATCAGTATGTGCACTTTAAACCTTTCGCTCTTTCAACACTGACACATCTGCTGTGTGAAGATGGATAATACTGTAAAACTGCTGTAACGGACAGCCGTCTCTGTAGCTCCCTTCAAATACATTACTAAAAGCATTTATGTGGGTTTTTTTTCAAATTTTAAGCTGGACCACATGTACCTTCTTATTTGGGGTGACAGGGAATTTTATGTTTTGTTGAACTTTATTGTGAAATTAGTCATTGCAAAGGGATTACTTCATATCATGGGGATTGGTAGAGAAGCTTTTATTCAATTCATTCGGCTTTTCAACTTTTAAGATAATGGAAACAAATGTTTAACACTCTTCATTGTTGAAATTTGAAGATGGACGACTTGTAAATTTGTAAGGTTAAACTTTGATGTCAGGGAGAGAGGGGGGAGAAAGCTCATTACTGAAAAAAGCTACATTTGATGAGGTCTGAGCAGATCCCAGGGAAAGTGAGTAACTTAAAGGGGAGTTTAATGATGAGGATATCTTTTTAATTGGTTGGCATGGCAACATCATTTCCAATGATTGAGTAGTCTCCCTGTACCTAGCTGTGTCAGATGTGATGTCAATTTCTCTGGATCACTCGCCTAAAGTAAGCTGACTGGTAGATGGTGCAATAACTTCAATAAACAGACCATCGGCAGCATTATTGTATGTCTAGTATATTGGCCAGGTCATCACGGCTTCCACTCTGTTTGAATGTTTTCTGGCATTTTCTCACACATGCTTTGTTATTTTGAAAAAAAATTCCCACCCCGTTATATTACTGTGATTGGACTTTTACTCGAATTTTCTACTTAATATTCATTAATTGCTATTTACAAGCAAAAAAATTGAAAATTCAGTTGGAATTTTTGCTGATTTAGCTGCTTTAGGGAAGTTCCCAGTTGGGAAATTCCATTTTGAATGGGTATATTAATTTAGGGGG